GTTTGAGGACAATCTGAAACACAAAGTGAGTTGTAGGCTAATTTGGGTGACAGGGTCTCCCATCTGTCACAAACAAGTGAAAAACACCCCAAACACACACACACACACACACACACACATACACACAAACAAACAAAACAGAATAAGAAAACTAAGGAAGGAATTGATGAACCATTAGAAAATTGTTTTTAACCCAGCAGGGAATCTCAGTTCATGTACAATCACTTTTCAAATATAATTTTGAAACATATTACTGCTTACACCGATTATTGTCATTTTCATATATAATCAGTTTACCAAACACTCCAATATGTTGTAAAGTCTTACATTGGTCTCATCCAACTTACCTGGCTGTATTCTTCTCCACCTTCAGATCATGTGTCATGGAAAAGCATGTTAATTTTAGATGGCGATTGCATACATCTTCTGTGGTTTTGTTTTCCATCCTACAAACACTCTTTAAACTCCTGATATGTGCCATAGATCATAGATCTACAATGTGCGATATTTCCTACTATGTGCCAGTAATCTTCATCGATGTTTGTTTTGCAGAAATGAGTAAAGCAAAGGAAACTCTATCACTTTACAGAGTACACCTTGTCATGGTCAAACAACACCATATTAAAGGTGAATAAAATATATACCATGTTAAATAAAGCAAAGGATTAATATTATTTAATACAAAGAAATGGAGACACATCTAATTTTAGAGATCAGAATCTTGTTAGCCGTGAGATAATATTGGGGAAAGAGCTGAAAGAATGAATATTAGGTATAAGCAGTGAAGATGTTGGGTGAAGATCTGAAGAAGGAAAATGGCTGGAGACAAGCCTCTGCAAAAGTTGGTTGCCAGTACATGACAAGATTATCAATGTTCAGGTGTGGGAAATTAGCCAGAGGAGGGTGGAAGGCAAAGTGAACTGTTTACGTCACTGGTCATTCATGTAGGCTTTATAAGTCTTTAAGCACAGTGGTACTTACGTTGAATGAGATGTGAAGGCAGTTGGTAGACATTTCCTGGAACAGAGGAGCAGATTCTGATCCAAAGGGTTGCCCTGACTGCTATAATGATGGGTACTGAAGGGGGTGAGGCCCAAGCAGGATACTCAACTAGAGGCCAATTGGGATGCAAGTGGAAAATGATGATGGTTATGCCTGGGTGGTAATTGTGGAAAGGTGTGGTATGGCTTGGGTAGAAGTGCATGCTTTGGCTTGGGTGCATTCATATGAGCTCTTTCATCCAAGCAAGTATGCTGAATGGACAAAGAAGACATGCTTGTTTGCAGCACAGGGGAAGGGAAATGTAATACTTCTCAACAATTCACCTTTTTAGTGGTAATTAGATGTGAGAGAACAGAGAGAGATGCATCTAGTCAATTAATTTTAAGCACACCTGTTGTATTCTGTAGGCCTTAATGGTCTTTGGCACAGTATAAGGTTTGCTAGAATATGGTCACACAATTTTCTCTAAATTTTATTAATTTGAAGGTTTTTTTTTTTAAGTTGTAAATGGGTAAAAGTGGTTCTGAAATTTGCCTCTGGTCTTTATGTAAACAGTAAGCTATGTCCTTGTGAAGAAATTAATAACATAATGTGATACAAACTGCTAAATTCATTTCACAAAATTTCATATCTGTTCTCTTGGAAAATACTGATAGCAAAGAGTCTGAGTTCAAACTCACATTGTGAAACAGACTTCCATACATTATTGTCTGACTTTCATATGTGTTTGTGGGACATGACATGTGCATATGCAGACATACAAAAATATATGTAACAAATGTATACAAATTCTAAGATGTTACCATATTGCTAAAAAAGTGACTGTATTATGATTGTACTTGAATGAATGAAGATTTTTGCATACAACTCGCATCTTCACAAACCAGCCACATTCCAGTGTTCATTAGTGATGTTTACTATATTATAATTCAGTCTGTCTTCAAGGAAGACTCTCCACCATAGGCAGAAAAAAAGAAACCATACATTCTGAGGCTTAAATATGAATTTCACATAATTTAGAATGAATATATATATATATATATATATATGCACATTAAAAACTACAAAATGGAAGCTTGAAGAAAACGAAAACAGTTGCAAAGGTATTTATTGAGAAATAGTAAAGATGTACATATTTTTACAAGCTTTTAATATTAATTTACATTTCTTTAAATTATGTAGGCTCCAATAATCTATAACTTTACTAATACATAAGAGAAACCCTTGACTTTGACTGTGAGATCCCTACAACACCACCACAACTGGGAGTCAAAATGCAACTTTGGCTCATGATGCTTATGTTTGTGTTGAAAAGAAATACTAAACACCATATTCACTGAGAATGTAGGCTTGTCACAAATAAGTAGGCTTCATTAGAACTTCACAGTAGGGCATGCAGTTGAAGCTATTTTGATCTTAGCTCACCAGACAGTTAGTACCTATTTTTGTGCACAGACCATACAATCTTAAAATCTTATTTTTTTTAACCTCTGAATTGGATTGACACATTTACTTGGGGTTTTATCTTCTTAGATGTATGCTATAATATTGTTGTCAGGCCTCCTATTTTATTACTCAAGTTATAGGGTCTTGATATTTTTAAGGTGCAACATAAGGCAGTTATTTTTTATAATATGAATATGTAATAATCCAAACCCCATCTGAGTTGGAGAACAGTTTTCAACAAGGCACAATATTCTACAGATTTTAGGAGCTGCTCATGGGGCTGGTTTTCTTTATTGCTGGTTGGCTGATTTTTTTTTCCCTAGAAAGAAAGGGGGGTTTTCTATCCTAAGGTGGGAAGAGGAGAGTTGTAGTTTGAGCCTCCTCAAAGTCACATGACCAACCTGGATCCATGGCTGGCTTTCTGACTGCTACCATTGTTGTGTTGAGTAGATAATATGTTTTACATCAACCTCACTTGTAGGTGTTATACTAGCTCTCCCCTAGACAGATATTTCGGGTTGAAAAATGCGTAAGAAGTGTTGTGGAGGATGCCAACAGCCAGCCCTTGTATTCTTTGGAATAGGTGAGTCTCTCTGACTCCCAAGTGGAGCTGTGTTTCAAACCTTGTTCATCAGATTTCAAAACTTTTCACAACTTTTGATGTGGGGCCACAAGTCTATCATGAAAGAAACTGGCTGTTTGTCCAATAAACTTTGTTTTTGTCACAGTAATAAAAATTTAAGGTTTAAGTGCACAAATGAGTACTGGTAATAAAAAATAATCTTTAACCTTTTAACCCTTTTCAAGCTGAAGACCAGCAGAATTGTAAAATTTATTTTTAATGTTATTAAGATTAAAATAGTCCAATCATAATTTGCCACTGTAGCATTATGGGAAAAGGTAACCAAAAGCCACAACATTTAAAAAATACGAATCATGTTAAGAGTCTCTTTCTTAGGCAGAATTTTCTCGTTATCTTTCTACCCCTAAACAGGGTCTTATCATTCTCTAAAGAAATGCAGCTCTCTAGAGCATTTGTTGTGATGTCTGAGCAAAGCATTGGTCTTACTTAAGTTGCAGAAGTCTAGGGTGATAACCTATCATGAATCAGCCTCAGATGAGGGGCATTGACTAACTGCTGAACTCTAGGGTCCATCAGATGCCATTCAGAATGTAGAGCTTCAAGTGTTTACACCATTAGAATACTTTACTTCTTGAAGTCTTAAATGGCAAACCTTGTCATAGCCAATGAGAGAATCTGTATCATGTTACCAACTTGGGCTACACACCAATAAAACAAAAAGACATGCAGACACAATGATGACAGGCTCTCCTGGCAACTGAATGCAGGCCTTGTTCAGCAATCTTATTAAGAGGAAACCAATGTATTCCTGTCTGTAAATGAGGAGACCCCGGACTAATGTGTTCCAAGGAGAGCTAATCCCTTTTACTGTTGAGATCTGGTGATGTTGTCAAGACCTAGCTTGTTTGACAATTAATTTATGTTAATATTATATAAAAGAAATTTCATAGACTCAGTTGTTTTTTCCTCTGGAGCTATCTGGTACCTGCCTTCTATCACTGATTGTACTTGCATTTGCAATGGCATGGAAGACAAATGTACTTTGTTGTGTCTACTCAATGTGCATTTTAAGCTATATTCATAGCATATTCTAAAAATGACTTGAATGGTATTTGCTAATTATTTGTACCATAATATTATTTGTACCATAATCTAAGCAATTAATACATAACCGTAATCTTAAACAAAAAATTGGGAAAATTGACATGAATATGGCTCTTAGTTTTCTTCCAGAAAACTGTAAGAAAGGATACTTGAGACTCAACATATATTCCACTTTCTAAACAAGGAATCCACTGTTTGTTTCCCAAACATTTTGCTTATGATTGGATGTTCAGATAGTTGATTCTTATTGATTACTGGGATCATTCAGAACCCATTGTTGTATTATAGTTGTTGGTTTCTCATGCCAAAAAATCTATAGTTTTTTGAGGTTTCAGTGTTAAACTGATAGCTTAAATTTTAAATTTGGTCATGTGAAGAATTACTACAATGTTTTTTTTTATTTGTTTATATGTTTTGTTTTTTTGTTTTGTTTTTTTTGTTTGTTTGCTTTTGTCTTTCATTATCTACAGAGACTTTAACCAAAGTTACACTGTAACTCACAAATGCTGTCTTGTCTTTAAGGCACAACACATCAGTATGAACATTCTCTCTGCCAAACTTAAAAAAAAGAGACAATATTATATTCCCATTTCCCCAGCCCTCTTCCCGCCCCAACAAATAAAAGAAAAATTGCATCCACTTTCAGATTCAGCTGCTAATAAAGTCACAGTAAATTATTTCCATCAATAATTTACACAAATTACAGGTCTAGATAGGACTGTTGTTATACAGTCTGAGTGCATTGAGATTCAGATTTTCTGGGCTAGGTAGGCTAAAAGTCAGATTCAAACCTCAGGGTTGAGAAGAGCTCCCATTTTGAGGAATGTTTTCGATCACCTTGTCAGAGGCAGAATAGGTGCTGTGGTTCGGGAGGGTTCAAGTTCTTTACTAAAGCTGTTAATTCCAGTTAGGACTCATTTGGTGTGTGTCAGCAACCTCCACAGATTATTTTTTTAAACCATGAAAGTATTGTAAAGATAATAAGACCATAGCGTTTCCTTGCTGTAGCACTAAAGTTTAATTCCATTCAGCAACCTGAATTCTTCACTCTGGAGTTTTCATTCCAAGTTTGATTTCATCCTTTAAGACCATTTATATGTGTAGAAGAAGCCAGCGGCACTGGATCACACATAAAAATTCAGTGTACTTGAAATATATATATATATATATAAAATGGATCCCCAGCTAGAGAATACAGTTACAAATACTCTAATTCCAGTGCTTGATGTAGAGCCAAGAGGTCCGAGTGGCTTGATATCCTCCAAAAGGGCATGTTGTGCTGTGTAGTCAAAGACAAGGAGAGAGGAGAGGGAGAGGCAGAAATGAAGAATGGAGACAGATCATAAACCATCATCCCATGGAGAAAGCAGCACACACCAGGATGTGGTTTCATCCAAATTCAACAGAGAGAGTTTAATAGAGGGGTAGCCACAGGTAGAGGTCTGCTAACACCAATATAGAATTTTCTAAGGAACTGAGAAATAGATCTGAACTGGACTTTAACATGTAACAGCCAATACTAAGTTTCCTGCATGGTTTAATCTATATTCTGTAAATTAGCATTACCAAGGTCAACACTGGAGAATGCAAGATAGCATAGAAATACTGCATGGATGAGGGACAAAACTATCAACATACCACTTTTAAAAGTTGATTTCTTGGTTAAAAATAAGATAAAATTAGACTATGATCTTCTTAAGCTCATAGGCCTTTGACAATTTGAGAGGAAAAATGAGTGATTTCCCACCTATGCAACAAACAATTTGGGGTGGGATTAAATAAATATTATAATTGATAATATTCAATAATACTTGCTTAGGATAACTAATAACTTAAGCCAGTACATGGCTTGGTTTATTTCACTAGTACAAGATTGAGAGGTAGAGGACTTAAACATAGTTTTAATGAGGACATACCATCCCTGTGTGAATAGAGAACGCTTAGATCGTATACTGGTTTATGGCTGTCTAGGGATGTACTAGTATGCACTATAGATGTGGCATTCAGAGTTTACACAGGAGACAGATCATTGAAAATAATAATAATAATAATAATAATAATAATAATAATAATAATGAAAAATGTAGCATAATAAATCACAAAATCATAGCATTATTTGTTAGCTTGAACTTAAAACATCTTCTAGGACATATGTGAATGGAATGTAGTCTTATATTCACTGGAAATATATACACATATACATATATTGAAAAATGTCTTTAACATGAGGCTTTATTATAATCACTATTTTTTTACATAATTTTTGCTGCACAGTATGGTAGCCATCGACCATACAAGTTTATGAGTATTTGAAATATGTTTAGTCCAATTTAAAATACATTCTGAATTCCAAAAGCAGACTAAGGCCAACACAGGAATATAGATATCATGTCAATAATTCTTATATAGACTAGGTGTTGAAATATAATATTTTCGATAGTTTAGGCTAATTAATAGACATTATTAAAACTGACTCTACTTGTTTCTTTTTTCTTTTGATCGTGGCTTCTAGAAAACTTAAAATTTACAACTCATGTTGTATAGAGGAGAGGGCAATGATCATTCTTATTGTTAACATTTGACATTTTTTCCCCTTAAATTTCACAAACATATGTTTTAGTTCAATTAGAGCAAAGAATTTTGAGAAGTGTAACACTTTTTACTTCAGCTCAGATCTATTTGTAATTATAAAACAGCACTCAGTATGTTTGCTCATGCGATTACTTCTACGTTCAAAGAAAAGCATGCATTCTGGGTACCAGAGAAACCAGCCACCTGTGTTTCCAAATAGAATCACAGCTTTCACCCATCACCCAAACTACCTACTTAAATAACCATTTGAAAATAGCATTCTATCCAAAGTTTTGATCCATTTGGAGTCAAGCTATTTGCCTCTGCAGCTGCAAAGCTCCATAATCTACAATTCCCAAGTCCATAATCTACCATGGACTTGATAAATCTTAATGCTGAAAGGCACACATTGCTATTGGCTTGGAAATGTGAGCTTTATTAGTTCTGACCCAGAGATAAGTAAATTTCCCATAGGCTAAAGACACACTTGTGTTTGCCTAAAGGTCTATTGTTTGCTATGTGTGGTTATGGTGCCAACATGAAAAGTCAAAAACATAAACTTCCATCAAATAGACATCCATAAACTCCCATCAAATAGACATCCATAAACTCCCAAAAAGATGGCAATTGTGTACGACTTAAACACCTCAAACAGCAGGCAACGGGGAGGTAAGGTTGTCTGAGGCTGCAAGGCTGACCTTATACACAATGTCCTTGGGACCAGTGAGCTGTCTTGGGTCACAGCCACAGCCAATTAACACTCAGGGAGTTCCATGTCACTAGCTCTTGCAACAGAATGGGAAAGCACAAGGAATCTAGGGGACAGGTGCTGATGATGCCTGAAAACCTTCTGAAATAGAACTCTTTCCCTTTCTTCAGTTTGCTGGGTTTGAGTTGACTGGATGCATTAATCATTTATCTTCCTGTTATGTTCATAAACTCTCCTATGAAACCTTTTATTCTGATTATTCTATAGAAAACAGAAATTGGGTCTACACTGTGATATATATGTTTAGTGGAGGCTTTATTAGAATGTGATTTAGACTGCCCATAGATAAGAAGCATAACGTTCTCTTTCTAAGCTAAAAAGTCATTTCTAGTTTCTTTGATTTTGAGGCCCTTCAGCAAAGTAAGTAGAGGGCACAGGTTTGTGTTGTTTGGTGTGGAGAACAAACCTCGTATCATTCCTCTTCTAATGCTGAACCAACCATTTAGTGATTACAACTACCCTGGTTCCTTATCAGAAACATGTATCCAATAAAAACATATTTAAGTCAGTAGGGCCTATGGGACCTGTAGATGCTGAAATCCAGCTACTTGGCCCTAAAATAAAAGTGACTCACTGAAACGTGTAAGAAACTTCTCGATGGGAGAACATTGCCAGTACGACTCTAAGACAAGTTGGCACAAAAAGTATGAACAATACACCCATTCCAACCACGCTGTTTAAGGCCTTGTACAAGTTCTATCTCCCTCAGCTATCAAGTCTGTCATCAGCATTTATTATCAAGGAACCCATCTGTCTCCAAGCACTCACAGAGAACATGTGACATTTGAGAGTCATGGGCCACCCTCACTGACTGTACTATGATCTTGTTAAATTTCTTCATGTAGTAAATTTTGTGAGTTTTTTTTTCAAACTATCTCTGTGTGCACTGTGTGTGTGTTAAATATATGTTCTAAATGTATGAATATATTTATATATTTACATACATTTGACTAAGTATCAATAAATTAGTCTGTATTTCCTATCAAAATCCAGGTGTAAAATGCTAGACTCCAAATGGTTTATTTACAGGTCAACATCAACTCTCTCATGCTCTTACTGATTTGCATCTATGAACGTCAATCACTTGTCAAGCTGCCATTGGGCCAAACTACAGGAATGCAAACAAAAAGGCTTGCACTAGAAGTATCACACCAACATTGTTTGAGACAGGTTACCTTTTTCGCTGCCTGCTCTTCTTCTACACCATCCCCAATTACAACATATACTACTTTTCTGCCAAACCTTTGCATTATTCGTTCAAAGCAACTTTCTTTTCCTGGAAGATAAATGAGATAAAGTTCAGAGCGAAATTACCTGCTTAGCGGCATGCTCCTCATCTCGGCCATCTCCAATCACAACATAAGTTATGTTAGTGCCAAATCTGGACACTATACGCTCAAAACAGCTTTCCTTGCCTGAAAAACAATGCATTGCTTATTCCTCCAGCCATGGTAATCATTAACCCAGAGATTCACAAAGTGTTAGATTAATGTCTCTTGAATAGCATTGGAGTGGACCTTATGACCTCTGCTTTTGCCAATCAACCTGCACATTTGATTGAGCTTGCTGTTAATTTAGGACAGATTATTAAACAAATGTTTTTGATATTCTAAGAAAGACTGTAGGCTTGGGAATTTGACCCTGATAAAATGTTAATGTATTTCTAACTCCACTGAAAAGAGTAGTGAAACAACCTTTATAGGCAAATAGAAATTTCTATAGCATTTGTTTGAGTCTAAAAACGAATGTTATCTCATTTATCTTTTGGATAGGCAAGCCAGTTGGGGAACACTGAAGTCTCATCTCTGAGGAAATACTAACAGATTTGCCTTGATAAATGACTCCTTTAAAAAAGTCTGTGAAAGGACATACAGTCAGATTAATTATATCACACGTGCTGTCTGACTGGCTACAGCAGTCAGACTTGCTGAGGTATCCCTGTGGACATCTTGCTCATGCATTATCTCTGTAACATTGGCATCTTTTCCTGAATTCCATTCCAAGAATGTTCACGCAGCCATCACTACTTTTGACATTTTTCTTTCTTAATCTCTAGCTCAGAACGCTAAAACAAAAATTACTACTGACAAGGGAAAATAATAATCACTCTTGCCTTAAATTTAAGGAACATGTTTGGTCAATGGGAAGAATATCAACCTTTAAGTAAAAGAAATGTTTATTTGGATTCAAAACCATTTGTGTTGTCAAAAAGAAAAATCACACTCGATCTGTCAAGCCTACGAGTTTAGTGTATGTGTCTTCATAGACACAGTGTGCGATTGTAATGTGCATGACAATGTGACATATACTTTCAGAAAGTTTTCCCCAAGTGGCTGCAACCTTCATGAGAACTAGGGCTAGCTTTGTTGGTGGAAGTTTTTAGGATTTTTAGCTTGTCAAAGTGTCCACAGATAATTGTGTTCCCTCTGGGGCATGTGGCATCAAGTATCCATTCTCTCAGGGGTTTCTTCCACAGGCAGTGGGATACATATTCTGTTCCTTTAACTCTTTCAAGATGGCAGAACTTGATGAAGTTTTGTTTATGAATGACAATTGGAAGTAAGATTCTGCAAAGCATATCTGAAGACGAAGATGACTCCATAGATGTATTTTACCCAGGAAGCAGGCTGTAGCTATTTGTGTATCAGGGAGAGATGTATATCCTAGACACTCGTGTAATGAATACTAAAATTACATATTCTGCTTAATTTTCACTTGTTTCTGGCTTTTCTTTTGATTTATGGTGTAATTAATCTGAGACTTTCCAATGATGCCAAAATAGTATTTTTATTTTTAACCTTAGACCAGTATTTTTGAAAAAGCAAAGATGTAATTCCGTTTCATATTAATTGAACAATTAAGTACTATGGCTGTAGAATGTATTACTAACACAATATATTCTAGAATCCTGTGTAAAATGGGCAGAATGAGTTAAGGTTGCCTAAACACTAAGTTCAGCATTTTACTAGCTAAGAGTTCTCATAAAATATACACATGTATCATGAATTATGTGCGATTTTGTTATGTGAAGCATTCCCAAATTTTCTGGATGTGTTAATGAAAAATTGACTAAAAAAGAATCATGCAGAAATATAACTACATCAGTGAAAAACCCCAAACATAGATGTGACTTCATTTCATACAGAATTTCAGATAGTTTCCTTACCTATTTTAGTTGCACTGTAAATGTTCTCAATGGGAAAAGCACCTCCTAGGCTGTAGAGCAGGACCTTTGCCAGAGCAGGGATCAGCTGCGTTGTCGTTACCAAGACATTTACACAGTTACTCCTATCAGGGATGAAATGTATGGATTTGCTTTCTAATAGTAAATAACGTCTACCAGCAAGATTGAAAATTGCCACTGCTCTTTCTAAATTCTGTTAAGAAATCTCCTCTTTCAGGACTTAACCACCAGTGTTATCAGCCAACAGACACTGACACATAATTCATCAAATAATTTTTCCCTACATTTTTGGGTTTTGTTTATATTTCAAATATGAATTAATGCTAAAATATATGGACAACAAAGCAAGCTTCATTATAGCTACCTAGACACTGGTTGTTGGTTTTTCTTAGGCCTTTCTTTTCTATTTATTTATTCATTTTGAGGTAGCTTTAAGTTCATTTATAAAAGCCATATAAATGAACTGTTGGTTTAATTCTTGGAGAAATGGCCATTACTGTACACAATTTCAAAGTTTTCGTGTCCTAGAGTCCCTGACCTCTGGTTGATGTGTCACAGTTACAGACATCATGATGCTGGAAGTTTCATGCTCAAGCAGCTGTATCTGTCAGACAATTCTTGCATGCAGAATTAAATGCCCCTCTTGAGTTTTTTACACATTTACCCTGATCCTCACCTTTCTAGATACAGACTAAAAATGTAACTCATTTTGGGTCCAACATTTCAAACTGTTTTTCAACGGACAATTCAGTTCTACACTTGACTCTTCAGGCTAAATTCTTGGCAGCTTTCTCTTTTGTGCAGGTTCTATAGACCAAATTCCAGGCACTACTGGACCTTGGAGATTTCATGTCTGTCAGAATTTCCATTAGAACATGACACCACAAACTGAACAGAATGCCCAAATCAACACAGGAAACCAAGTGCAAGCCCCCACCACAAGGACTTTCTGTTGTTGGTGACGTTTCTGATCTTGCCACCAGGAAGGAACCACATTTCACTTTGGCACATGAATTTACTTTCATATCATAAATAGTTGGCTCTTCTTTCACTCAGGCAAACTTTTTATGTATCTGATATCTATCTGGATAGCATCTCTGTTTAATGGCTGGTACCCACAGGTTGGTTAACTGTATATTTATTGGTTCATCTATATCAGAAATAAAACTATGGAATAAGAAAGAACAAACATTAATCTCACCCATCAGCCATTGCTTCAAAAATTTACACTTTTGAATTATTAATAACAGTACAAAGTTGACAAACTTGAAATCTTTGTAATTTTGTTACCCATCTTAACAAGCTTATAAAAACACTGCAAAGCCTAGAGGTTGACAAGAGCTTCCCTGTGATTTCCTGATGTACACACCTAAACATTGTGTCTGTTTACAAAAATTCCTCCTTTAATTTTGTCATCATTCTTCAGACTTTGTCACTAACACAGCCCTGATTCCTTCTCATGACAAGTTATATGACTTTCCTGCGCGCGCGCACACACACACACACACACACACACTGAAAAATCACTGGATGTGGTGAATTGTTAGGAATTGGAGCATGTTTTCTTTGCTGAGCTATTGGACCCTAGTCCTCCATATAATTGAAGTAGAGGGGCCATAATTCCACTTACCTAGTACTAATAATTGATAATGACTTAAGTGCATTTGTTAGCCAGGAATCTGTTAGGCCTTCAATCTCTGCCCTTAACTGCAGCCACGCATCCCTCTTGGCTGGACCAAGGAGTCCTAGAACACCGAAACACAAGGTATAGTCAGGAGTTGAACACTGTCTCTGGAATATGCAATTTGGCATCTCTTCTTCTACCATAAACAATCTTAATTTTAGGTGTGTCATAAATAAAGAGGTAAAACATCAACTTGGATTCATTCTTTCAGAGCTTATTATTCTCTATTCATTCAACGAATTCTTACTAGACAATACTTGGTGTCAGACACTTGACTAGACACTCAGAGGTATGACGCATTAAAAGAAGACCCCAGTTTTATTTCTCTTTCAGAGCCTGGAATCTAACATAATAGCAGGAAGGCCCAGCAACTTCTAGGCCTCAGTTCATTGATGAAGCTGGCATATGTCAGTTCAGAAGGAGCAGTGGGGTCCCTCCAGTCCAGGAACACAAATGTGCCATTTAAAAAATATTGTCTCTTCATAATTACAGTCCCACTTTGGAAAAGTATTACCAGCATCTGTATGCAAATGTTTCAATGCTTTTCAAACTATTGTCAGCACTTAATGATATTTTGTGTTTTAAAAAGAAATTAATATTTAAAATCCCAAGGTGTACTATCCTAGAACAAGCAGCAGTGGGAAGAAGTAGGTATGTTAAATTTTAGCTTACAGAGATGTTAGGATATTCACCAGTGGCAGATCACCTGATTAGAATGCAAGAGGCCCCAACATCGACAGAAAGAAAAAAGGAAGGAAGAGAGGAAGGAAGGGGAGGAAGAAAAAGAAACAGAAAAAGAGGAAAGCAGCTGTACACTCATGATAAAACGAGATCACATAAATATTCATTCAATAGGAAGGCTTCTCACTCAAGTTGTATTTCAGATATTGGGAGCGAATTCATACCACATACAATAGGAGCCATTAAAATTAAAACTTTTCCTTTCTATAAAGTCTCATTTTCTACATTTCAGTAAAAAGATGCTAGTAAGTGACAGAAAATAAACTCTCACATCATTGGTTTAAGTACCTAAGATACAAGAGTATATACTAATAGTCTTCTAACTTTTTTTTTTTAATGTCACATTTTCTTTCTTTCTTTCTTTTTTTTTAAAGATTTATTTATTGTGTTTACAATGCTCTGCTTACATGTCTGCTTCAAAACCAGAAGAGGGCACCAGACCAGATTACAGATGGCTGTGAGCCACCATGTGGTTGCTGGGAATTGAACTCAGGACCTTTGGAAGAGTAACCAGTGCTCTTAACCTCTGAGCCATCTCTCCAGCCCCATAGTCTTCTAACTTTTAAAGTAAATTTAACAATACTCTGTAAGATGGGGGGGGGGGGTGGAGACACACAGATGACAAATGTTTCAGACTTCTCAAAGGGGTGTTCAGTTGCTTTAAAAAAAGCTAGATGTATTATTTACAATTGATTTTTACCTACACAATCGATTTTATTTTACAAGACTATCTTGTACAAAGCATTAGAGTAATGCAACCAGGAGCTGCTGCAGGGTTCAGTTATCCATTTGGAAACAAAACTCTTCCTTATACAAACTTTGTGTTGGTTCAAATGTTCATATAGTCTGTGGTTCTACCTTGTTTTTTACACTTTCTGGGTGTTCACGGAGCATATGATGCGATTCAGTGCTAGAAAATACTGGAAAACAAACACACAGACTCCATTCTCAAGCTGAAATTGGACAGGTGCAATGCGTTTACTGTGGATGAAAATTTTAATTATTTTATTCTATGGCATACATGACCATACACACATACAGAATGTGTTTAAAAAATCATTTTCTCCTGACTACTTTGACTTTTTGTTTTTCAAACACATTTCCTTTCAAAAGAAAATTGAACAGCCTGTGGGAAGAATTGTCCATGATCAACCTTTGAACCAATCTTGGGAATCTGTTGACATAAAATTGATTCTAACAATAAAAGAGGATCCATTTTCCCACATTCAGAAGCACAGCCAGGATGGTGGTTTGAGGCTAAAGGTTTAAAAACTACCTCAAGTTATATGGATAAGTAGAATGTGATTTAGATACTACCCGCAGAGTATTAGAACTTTTAAATCCCATATTGAACATAACAACTCTACACTGTGTGGGAAGATACATTGTCAGATGATGTGTAAATTTTACAAAGATGAAATAGGTCTGTAACACATTTTGAACTTGCACAAACCACTGTTTATACATTCTGGTGTGTGTGTGTGTGTGTGTGTGTGTGTGTGGAGAGAGAGAGAGAGAGAGAGAGGAGAAAGAGATATTTCATGGGTTTTAGCTTTGTAAGGGTCTCTTGATCACCTCCCTCATTTGTCTGTTTTCCATTAGTAACATCAGAGTACTAGCAATGAAGCAAAATAAATATCCTCCTGGAAATCTTATAGAACACAAGATTTTACACAGAAATGCTGAGTGTTTTCACTGGGACGCATTCATTTTCTCCCTACTAATTCAAAGAAAGCACAAACTTGCGCTCAGTACTTTCCAGTGTGAGCCTTTAGCTGATTTGTTTTCCAGTAGGCCAATCTCCATTATGAAACCACAGCTTGAATTCTACCTAGAACCAAGGTGCTGACACTGGATGGAATCGGCTGCACGTACCTCCGACATTGTTCTTGTAGGTGTTATATAATTCCTTTACTCTTCTGTAACGGAAAGCCAACTTCCTCATCCAGTCCACTCCCCCTCTCACACCTGTTGGCAAACAAAGGTTCGCACTACTTGCAGCTGCATGGAAGCCATCAGTTGCAAAACTGTAGGTACTGCAACACCCAAAATACATTAAAAAGAAATAAAAGAAATAATTACATGTGCAAAACTCCATGACTGAATTTCTGTAGGAAATGGAAGTCTGTAAAGTATAGCTTACCTTAAGTCCTGACCATTGTCATCTGAGGAAACATCATCTATATGAACTTGATCACACTCCTGGGGAAAAAAGGAGAGAATGGACACATCGATCACAGGATTATGGCCACGAGGTGGCAGCATGGGCCCAGTCATCCCTTCATCTAATGCTTGTTGTGTGTGGGGGGGAAATGGTACCACTTTTTTCTCAGATGCAAATCCAGAAGGGTTATATAAAGTGGTCTGAAAACTTGGAGTGCTTTGAAAAGTAAGTTTAATTTTAAGTTCAGTTGTTCGGTTATAAGAAGAGCTCAGGAATCTTTGAGATCAGTGTCCCCACTAATCTAAAAAACACACTTGGGTCTGAACACTATTATTTATTGTTTGCTTGGGGGCAGCAAAGGGGTCTTGACCTCAGAACATGGTGTCCTGTGAGCTTTCCAAGACTTCCTGCTCTTTTGCTGGAGTGGGGGTGCTATTTTACTTAAAATCACAGTTTTCTGATACAGAACAAAGTTAGTAGCTGTAGAAGCTGGCATCCTCTCTTCATTGGGCTTTAAAAACATTTTTAAATTTCAACAAATGCAAGTAAAACAGTAAAGGTTTACATACCGAATGCACTACAAATGCTAAGGAAAATAAACTTAGTGAGGATGCCCACTTTGGATCCGATTCCAAGTTAGAGTTTGCTTAAAGCAAATAGTGTCTTCCACATAAGAACTGGGTTCTTTGAGGTTCTAAAAGTCCTGTTCTGTGTTTAAATGATCTGCAAAGTTCCAGTGAAACATTGCTTGATTTAAGGTGACATTTGCTGGTAGGATTTAAAATGCCTAGCCCTAAGAGGAATAAATCCATGATTAATAGTTACAAATGATTACAATTAACAATAAATCAGTAAGTGTGTATATGTGTGATGTATATATGTGTGTGTGTGTGTAAGAGAGAGACAGAGAGTCAGAGAGAGATAGAGACAGAGTTTTTCAGAGCAAAGCTACCGTTATGCAAGTGTTTTACTACTGAATTATATCCCCCGCTTTTGTGCCTCTTATGTTTCCTTTAGATTATCTTATACCCACGGATACTGATGCTGCATGTAAGCACTTAGCATTCAAAAATCAATTTAAAAACTGTCAAGTTTGAAAATTTTCAATATAAAGAAAGACTCTCCCTTTCAAACTTGTTATAGACCTGGAAGCAGCTGAAGTCAGACACTGAATGTCTAGCCTTCAGCCTTCCACACAGAACATATTTTTCCTATTTAAGATACAGAATTGGAGGGTGAGGGGATGGTTAAGCAGCAGGTAAAGAACTTGCTGTTGAGTCTGAGGAACTGAGTTTGAAGCCAGGAGCATATGAGATGGAAGGAAAGAACTAACTCCTCCAAATTGTCCTCTGCCTTTCACATGTGTTTGATGTGGATAATTTCATTTCCCAAGTAAATAAGATGAATGTAAACTAAATAAACAAGCTCAATGAGTAAAATTTTGGAATGTAACTTCAAAATGTATTTGGGATCTAGAGATGGCTCAGCATTTAAAAGCATTTGCTGCTCTCCCAGAAAAACTAGTTTAGTTATCAGCATTCCTGTGACAGCTAACAATACCCTCTTCTGTTGTATGTATACACATGGTACACATACATGCATACATGTAAAATACTCGTAAACACAAAATAAAAACAAAAATACCTTTTAAAATCTAAGTATACATATTTTAATGGTTTATAAAGTTTATATAGATTATGAGAATCATAGGTTTTAAATAAATCTCTACCTATGTCCCCAGGTAAGAGCTGAGAAGAGTTACTCTAACTATAAATCATCTGAGGATTCTTCTGGGAGAGATAATATTGATACACTGATTTTTAGAGGCATTTCCTAAAGGCAGAAAACAATATGGAGTTTGGGGAGTAAAAGAACTGAAATGAAAACTTAAAAACTGGAAGGGAGGGGGATACGGAATGGGAAATATGCTCAAGATACATAATATATCTGTTTAAAATGTCCTTATGCAACACATGTGTGATGAATAGTCAACAACAAAGATAACTCCCAGTTAAAAAGCAAAAGAGTTGCTTCTTACATACATGGCAGCCGTCTAGACAAATGATAGAATAGGTAGGAGTGCCACAATCGTTTCAAGTTCCTGACAAAAGTTACAGTGACACGAACTAATACCCCAGATGGCGAGGGTTGTGGGAAGATGTGGATGTCACGAGTTGAGGGAGAAGGAAAAGAACAGAATAGGGATTGAGGTTGCCTGAGCTATGGCTATTCCCTCCCCCATCCCCCCTTTTTTTTTGACAAAGAAGTCAGGAAGAATTCAGGCTACCCTTTAATGAAAGGAGGTATTACACCTCCAAAACATAATAATAATCAGATGCAAGAATAACAAGCTGCTGCACTGGGCTTTAAAGTGATCTAAGCAGTAAGCATGACAGCTGGAAAACCCATTTCCTTCCCAGAATATGGAGGCACTGGAGTAGCTCAAGATGACCTAAGTATTTCTTTTTCAGACATAGTAATATTATTGCAATAAATGTTACTATATATAAATGTTTTGCCTGAATATATATCTGTGTAACACATTGTATCTAGTACCCCTTGAGTCTACAATAGGTGTTAGATCCTGTGGGAATGGAGTTACAGACAGTTGGGAGCAACCATGTAGGTCTTGGGAGTCAGGTCTAAGTAGGATGGAAGAGCAGCCCATGCTTTTAGCCACTGAGCCATCCCTCTAGGTCAGACAGCTTTTAGCCACTGAGCCATCCCTCTAGGTCAGACATTGTGACATTCTTGGGAGGACTTTAGCTTGAAATAAATACCTGATGCTCCTCACTCCACTGGGTTGCCGAAATCTTTCCTCATGTAAATAATCTCTGTCTCTCCTATGTAATAAACTTTACTTAAATCCTCCCAAATGGGCAGGGAGATTTTTGTGAGCTCCTCCAACCACCAGAAGTTATTTCTTGAGTATTTTTTATTCTAATTTTTGAAAAGCTCCCCTGACATTTCAAGTATTAAACTTACATGATTAATTTGTGCATAACTTGCCCCAAAATTCACTTATTTTTTACTCCTGAGGACAACAGTATATCAAACGTATTAGACCATGCATTCCATATTTGAAGTTAGGTTTGAGGGTCTTCCAAATCTAACTTTCTTTAAATTTATGTTTAGTAACTCTCTGTGTTGACTCTGGACAGTTGCCCAAGGATTACAGCCCAGTGAAAGAAACTTGAACTTCAATTACTTGGATTTTTAAGGGAAAAGATAAATAATTGTTCATCCACTGGTTTTCACTGTGAGGAGCCATGCAGGAGGAATCATTTTAACCCAAACATCCAAGCACTTTGGTTGTGAACATAGCTTAGGAAAGACCTCAAATGTTTGAAATAATTCTGGCGTTAATCATACATGCTTTAAATTTGTCTTATAAGGTAACCACAAAGCTGTCCCTGATCTATCCCAGTTATAAGCCACAGGACTCCTTTCTTGCTTTCATGAACCCCAACTCCCTGGTGCTTTCTCTTCTGGAAGTTATTCTAACTGAAATAACACTTTTTTTTTTCAACAGAGAGAATTCTCTTGCTGGGGTTGGGGGTGGGCAGAATGGAACAAAGTGTTGAGTAGTAAGAATCAGATTTGGATCTTTAAAGGGAGTTTGAGAGGAACAGCTGTCACTGCCCATGGTGCACCTCGTATTGAAGCACTTACTCTTTCAAATAGACATTTGGATTCCACAGAAAATCCTAAGAGATTAAATATACAAGAAGAAAATTTCTCACAATAAGAGAACGATAATGTGCACTGTGTTGAGCAATTGTGTGCAGCAGCAAAAGCAGGTTAGGCTTAATTCCCATTATGGAACCTTCGTAAGAAGTTTGCTGAGAAAAGGGTTATTGACATAAATGTGATGTTCAAAAGTAGCCACACAGGATAGAAGTAAAATAGGTAACTCTACCAAATGAACCTGAAAGTTAGTGCCCAGATCTTATTAGTCTAGTGCTTGTTTGTGTCACTTGGCAATACACATTTGTGTTTCCTGGATTCTTCTCCCTTTGCAAAGACATATGCACACACCATGATCAGGCTTAGCTTTTACTGATCAAGTGAAGTACACTTCAATGGTTGAACTGTGGGGGTTAAGTCCAATAGTGGTTCTGTGAAATTCTAAAGCCCATCCAAAAGAGAAACATCAACGCCAATATTCTTTCAGTTTAATATTGTTGTTCATGATCACAGCCTATACTCACAAAATACCTTTAATATAAGATCTTGCATAAGATGAAAAGTCTAAAAGCACAATATATAGCTACAGCTTTTTATGCATATTGCAACATTTACTCTAAGCATTTAAATGTTTGTGTTAAGATTCCCTTACATTCTCACTCACATTCTCATTTTAATGTTCTGCTAGAAGGTGAGGACTTTATTTAAATTCTATTTATTATCATTGTATATATGTGTGCGCATGCACTTCTGGCAGTGTGTGTGTGTGTGTGTGTGTGTGTGTGTGTGTGTGTGTGTGTGTGTGTGCTGTAATGTCTGTGTGTGGTTCAGAGGACAACTTTGTGGAGTTCATTCTCTTCTGTCCCAGTGAGATCTGATCAGCATGATAACCCTAATTTGCCTTATTCCATCTTATTTTTAAGATGTCACCAAAAAGGTTTAAGTTAATTTATTCTACATGTTTCTAGTAAAAAGAAGTCAAATGAGATAAACACTATAAAACTGGGAAAAACCACATACAATTTCCCATATTAATCATCTGATAATTTTTTAAGCTGCGATTCATCCATACTAAGAACAAGAAAGGTAGCAGATAGCTATTACTGAATTTAAAACGCCAAGTTCCATGTAAGTTCAATTGTTTCTTATTAGCAGGCATCATCGCAAAAGCATCATGCATCCCTGGGAATTAGGAGCAGTGGGATTAGCTGAAGTCAGGTTTTACAAGGGTCGTGAGTTTTTCTTATTATACAAAAAATGGAAAACTAGATTGTTCATTAACAAATAAAGTTTCTCTGAACAGACATTTTATCAGGGAACATGCAGACAGAGCTGAGAAAGCAACTGATTGTTTCTGACCTTGTAGCTCTCAGAAAATGATTTTATGGTTCACAAGGAATCATTCTTCATCTCCTTCTCTGATGCAGCTACATCTTGACCTAAAATCTTAACGAAGCCGCTCACTAAAATGTGGCTTTTCTTTTCTTCACCATAATTTCATCAAGGTTTGGGGGTAGAAGTCTGTACTCTTGTCTTTGCTTTAAGATCAGAGTTCTAGTATTGAGCCTGCTGGTGACCTTGGACACACACACATTGATGGTATATATGCCACATATATGATATACAGTATATGTTGCATTATTAAAACTATAGTTTGTCCTCGGGAAAGTAAAGTGATGCACTTATTTATTTAAAAGCATTGATGGTAATGGAAAGTTCAACATAAAATGTCTAGAGCCAAGTGAGAGATCATAATAATCTTCACCATCTCTGTTCATAATGTCACTATAGATAAAAGGTTCACCATTGTGAAATCACAAAATTAAAATGAAAAGTTAAGTTTGTCATTTGAAAAATGAGAAATCTTTATTTTATCCCAGTATGTTCATGAGGTACTTTTGGTCCCTTGCCCAAACCACTTTATTATTTCTTATTCTGTGTGTTAGCAATCTGGGGTATCAGTGAATAACATAAATCGATTTCTGATTAGTAACTTGGTATGCAGCTGTTAATGCAAAGGTGAGATACCAATGAACCAATGGCAGAATGAGGGTTTGCCTGACCCAAGCCACAGAGGGTACCATCTATTCTTCTAAGACAGTTTTGTTCTCAGTTTGTGTCTCTAAATGTGTATAATTCAAGAGCACAGGTTTACTTCCTGTTCATAGTAGTCTATGCAAATTTTCCACTGCACAAAAACTTCACAGTTCTCATGGGACGAATATCCGTTTTTTTCAGATTTCTTAAGGCTTTCTGCATACATGACACCATTTGAGAGTTTCTGTGTTGGCAATAATTATTCTTAGCTTTTAAAAGTCTTACCTCTAAATCATTAAAAAACAAATGTGTATCAGCAAGATTAAAGATCATTTCCTCCATACGGAGCCCGAGGGTCACAGCCATTGGGGGATCCTGGAAAAAATGCATATATAATGAGGCAAAATTTCAATAGTCACAATGAGTAATAAAATATTTTGGGTACATATCGTTGGAGAATGCAAAATATCAGGTGCATTTATAGTGAGGATTAAAACATTTTCCAGAGGTGAGGGGAGAGCTGAAAAAATTGGGAAATATCTAAAATTATGACAATGCCTTAGTGACTGATAATATAAAGTAGGGTTACTACAGTTAACAATATATACTGTAGTCTTTCAGGTGGTCGGAATAAAACATTTCATTCTCACCCCTAAGAATAATAAATGTTTGAAAAAGAAATATTAATTATCAATGTGATAATTACTATATATTATATATATATATTTAAACTTACGCTATACACCCGAACACAATTATGGCATTTATAATTTCTATATAATTACATATGTGTGATAAGATGACATATAAATTATTTACAACACGAACATCAAAAGATATATCTCATAATTTATAGAAATTTGCATGCATATGTAGACTTCAATAGAAACTTATCTATGAAATCAGTATATTCATAATTGAGCTTGAAAGCCAACTAGTTTGGATGACCCTGTTTACAAATATGCTATGTATACATTTCGCAAAGCATATTTGGATGACTGTGGAAAAGAGAAAGCATATTAACATTTGAAAGAAAATTCACTTATTATACAGAGTAAATAGGTTATGTTTAGAAATATATAGATATACATATATGCATGCAATAACAGAGAAAAAAGAAGTAAATTGAAAAAAGTGGGAGAGATGTATGGGAAAATTCGCAAAGAGGGAAGGGAAGGGAGAAAGCCTATAATTATATTGTAATCTTAAAAATAAAAGAAAGGATGACTACAACCAAATTAGAGGTGGAGAACAGGCCAAGTGAATGTCACAGAACTTGAGCGGGGACTATTGCATTATGTTGGGATAGTAAGATCAGACAGAGAATGGCAGAACTGTCACTTAATTATAGATTGCACTTTGATTGACAGGATAACAGGGATTTTATTTAACTCTAACCTTAATTTTACTAAAGTTGCAAGAAATGGAGAGTACCCTGTGTAGAAAATGCAACCTTGAGTCTCAACCCCCTTTAGACCTGCATATCAGATATCCTGCATATCATATATTTTCATTATGACATAACAGTAGCAAAATTACAGCTGTATAGTAGTAACAAAATAATTTTATGGTTGGGGTCCCAATCAAAGGGTCACAATGTTAGTTAGGAAGGCTGAGAACTACTGTTTTAGAAGGGAAGAGAAATGCAGGGATTGGTGAGGAGTCAAAATGATTCTACATCTTACAGTGACCAATACCTTAAATAGCAGCAAAGACTTAAGAGCCAGGAGCCAGGCTGTTACCTTACTATGGCCACCTGCAGCTGAAATCCCGGCATCGCGAGATTTTGAGACTTTAAGGAGAGTTTAGGTACTGGAGGGCTTTCCTTCATATGGTTGTATTGAGATGATCAAAGGTGAAACAAATCTAAAGAACTGCTACAGGTGCGAGTGAGAGATGCAGAAAGCAGAGACCCTGAAGGGAGCGACTCCTTTGAGTCCAAGGCTAGACGGATGCTTCAGAGTGAAGACAATGATTTCTCATGAAGCTGTTAAGTCTAGAAGGACACGACTGGTTTTGTCTATTTGATTTGGGTTGAGTGGCTGGGCCATGAACCAGACAGCAGGGATTGAGAGATCTGAAATCTGGTCCTCAGTATTCTAATAAGTGGCATTTTAAGAAATGTGCTAAACCTGGATAGAGACATAGAGAACTTTACTTCAATTACAGATAAGAACACCCCATTCAGGGCAGGCCCAGTGACTTTCAATTATACCTCCAACCTGCTCCACTTGCCAGTAGATGCCTCTCCAAAGCATCATTCAGCCTTCGTCCTACATCTATGTCCATAGTGCTTTGTGAAGGAAACAACAGAGTGTAAACATATTTCAAGTGTTCCTCTCAGATTCTGTAGCTTTGGAAATGTGGAGAATGGGAGGGCCAGATTAATAAATAGGAATCAAATGCTAGTGGGATCTGGAGGCTATATAAAGTAAACTCAAGGGTTGATGTGGGCAAGGATGAGACAAAGACAGGGACAGTGTATGTGATTCCACCATACTTTGTTATTTTCATTTTCTCAGCGGGCATTTTTATGGATTTTTAAACATTACTGACAAAATCCTATGTGGATGCTCATATCTTGGATCATGTCCTTTGGTGACTTAGACTTGGACTCTATTGCCACATTGATCTGCTTTCAGTGACAGCTGAATCAATATACCCAAATCACAAATCAAAAAATATGGGATGATGAAGGGACAGGGTTGTATGAATACTCAGACACACTTTATACATATAGGTTCTAGAAAGTTCAATGTGTCCACAATAAAACTCAACACAAGGCAAGATCAAATTGTTCTGTCTAACAAGTACTCATTCAAAAATAAAGAAAATATATATTGTGTACCCAAGGCTTTTATTTTATTTTATTTTAGCTCATGCCATTTCAGATCTCAGAAGGATCCCTGACTGACTGTATTTCCTCCCATTATAAGACACTCTTTTGTTGTTCACATCCTTTGTTATTGAGAGAACTCTCTGAAGCTTAAATAATTTTTTTTAACTACAATTTGTCTTTTTCTGTTAAAAACTTCTCTTGCTAATCTCTTTTGGAAGGAACAGAGTGGGGGTCTTAATTAGAACAGGGTTATAGAAAACTTCTAAATATTCTGCAAAGTCATAGACCCATGAACAAAATGTCTACAGAAATATCAGGAAAATCAAATGTAATTACAGCATGAAAACATATAATTCCATTAGTGACGCTCCCTGCTTTTGAGGAATGTCCGTGATGCAAGACAGTAGAAGGGAGCCTCACTGAGCTCTGATGATTTCTGCCCTAAAGATATCCATTTCAGATGAGGCTACAGAAGTATCTTGCTTCTTAAAGTTTTTCTTTTGGGGGCTAGGTTAGTGAAACTTTTATCCCAACTGGTATTTGTTTCCCTTTTTAAGTTTCCAATAAAATTATTTGCTATCTCATGTTCATTCCTTACATTCTTTGCATTTACAGATCTGATGTAAGGGAAGATGAGAGAAAGCCTAGTGGCCCCGTGATTGCTACTTTGATTGATAACATGCTTCTAAACAGCATCCCTCTTGGTGCTATCCAACAGTGATAGAAAAATGCACGAAGAATGCATTTTCTGTGCGTCTGATAAGCATGCAAACAAATGCACGTAAAGAAATGCACGACTCTTCCAGTAAGCAGGCACAGCGTGCTGTAGGCTGAAAGCTGTGTTTGGGCACACCACTGGAATGCAACCCCATGCCACCAGGAGGGCTCAGCACTTGATTCACAGGCTATGGTGTTTGTACATCACATAACCCACCACAGCCTGCACTCGGTAAGCATTCTGACAAAAATCCAATTTCTTAACTGGGTAACTGGGTAAGTTTAGATTTGACTTTTGTCAGAGTGTGAACGTTAAATTTTACTAAGGTTTCCAGAGAGCAAGCCCATTGAAGAAGAGGTGTTCGGTCATCTATGCCACAAGTCAAGGAAAATCAAGTTAAGAGGAGGTGATCATAACTGTTTGTAGAAAGCCGCTTCTCAAATCTACAATTTTATCCCCCTCTTCAGGCTAAGTAAGTCACTGGGACAGCTAATTTTGAAGAAGCAGATTACAGCATCACAGTTTTCCAAATCTCAGATTCCAAAATGGAGGACTGTGCCCCTGGGGGGTAAAAGCTTCCCAGAGTGTGGCCATCGTGGGCAGCCGTGGCTGGGAAGGAGCCAACAGCGGCTTCAGGGCCGGTGCTTCATCAGGCATCTGAGAGTGAGACAGACTCCTGGAGAGAACCCAAGTGTTGTATTGAAGTGCTTACTCATTTTCATAGATGTTTACAGCGTTCCTTAGGAATACGGATCTGCTGCATTTTTTTTTTCCCATTCAGCTGTAGTGAGTGAACTGAAAATGAAGAGATGGCAAAAACTTGGACCGGGTGAAAAGGTGGGAAAGCAAAGGCACAGGCAGGGTTGTATGAAAGCTCGGAGGCTCGTTACACATGTGAGAGTTCTGAGAGATTGAGAGTGTCTCCAACAGAGTTCAACATGGGGCAAGTGGAAATTCTGCCAATCTATGCCGAGCGCGGCTCTATCAAAACATTGAAATGATTCCCAGGACACTTCATTGGAAAGAGTGAAAGGGAAGGAAGAAGGAGAGAGAGAGAGAGAGAAAGAGAGAGAGAGACAGAGACAGAGAGAGACGGAGACACACACACACACACACACACACACACACACACACGGAGGATAGAGAGAGGGAAGGAGGGAGGGAGAAGAGGAAGGAAAAGATTGAAAAAAAAAATAGCACTTGGCCTTGAAATCTGTGCCTCTAAGCCAGATGTTACCAGTGCATACACCCAAGTTAGGATCAAGTAGAGCACTTCTCTAAATCAAAATACTAATGCCTATTAGCCATGTTAGCACAGAACATAAATTGGAGCCAGACTGTCTGTCTGTGGGTCTCTGCCCTGCATTGGGCCATCAGCTGCAATTCCTCCTCTAGGGAAACACTATAAAAATATCTCAGGAGGGCGGCAATTATGTATTTTTTTAAAGGACTATTTTTCTTTTAAGATCCTGGGATCTTGGATCAGTTATTCCTATGGGACCTAAAGCACATTTGTAGATTCTTACACAGGGGAGAGAAGATGCCTAAGCACACATGAGGAAAGTAATCAGTAATCTTACCCAGTTGGGACGCCTATGAACCACAACATGATGATCACAGCCAGATATCGCTAAAGGTACAATAGTGGGTGGCACTTAAGTTTAGGCTCTAACCAAGGCCCAAGCAACAACACAGAAATCATGCTCAATATGGGAAACTTAGCCAACTGCCAGTGGATAGTAAGGTCACAGATCTTAGAGGGTCACCTACTACTGCCCCTTTCCTAAATCGGTACAATTTCTAACCATACTCTAAATA